AAGAGCCACAGAGAGAGGGAGGGTGTTTACACTCTGGTGAGACTCTTAGCACAGGGGAAATTAGGGAGCGCCTGCATGGCCTGGATAATGAACAATTAAAAAGAAACACAGGTAGACACTGAGGCCCTCATCCCATCTGGAGGATGCTAAGGCCCCCTTGTGCTTAGAGACTTGAACCTTAAGGAGGAAGTCTCTGAACTGAAGGAAAAATGCAGATGAGTTTAATTTCCCAGGAGGCTCAGTGGTTAAACTGTCATTTAGAAACTCTGTGTGTGGCTATGTGACTTGGGGTAAGGCAGGATGCCACCTAATTAATGGACTGACCTTACGGTAGGGGACCTATTTACAGAAAGCCAGGGATAAAAATGAAAGTGTAACCCAAGAGGAGCTTAGTAAATGACTCTTTTTTGTCAGGTGTCTCCATTTAGAAATATGTTTTAAGCATAGTTTCATGTTTATGTGAGGTTACAAATGATTCAATCAACCTTGTCTGTTTAGAAGAGGCCCAAGTCAAGAATAATGAGAAGTAGTTACCTTTGGGGTACTTTCTGATCATCCTGTGGATTGAGTGTTTTTCCTTTGTATCTAACTTATGTCTCTATTTGAAATGTGTCTGAATCTTGTTTTGCTCCCAAGCAGCTCCCACATTATCAGCATCCATGGGCAGTATCCACTTGATAACTGTTCTACTCAACCAATCCTCAGACATGTATGACCACCAGTACAATATAAATTGACTGTGACACATTTACATATGATTTAGATTAAGTCTCAATGAAAAATTCTGCTTAGCTAAAGTGCAATTCAGAAATGAAATACCTAATTAGTTGTGAAAAGCATTGAGCACGCTCCAGTGAACAAGCAAATTACTACAAAGCTCATTGCTAGTAGATTATGTCAGTGCTACCGTATCTGGGTCCATTCAAATAAAGTGTATCATGTAGGTACCAGGAAAAGTAAAGAGATCCAACAGGAGAAGAGGAACTGAGTCTCGGTAAAGGGGAATCTGTGATATTTCAGACAAGACAGGGAACTTGTAGGAATGATACCTGAGCGTCAATCCCAACTTGCTAGTAGTATGACCTTCAGAAAATCGCTTTACCTAGTTGAGGTTCCGTCTTTTCACCTATAACTAGGTAAAATGTGGAATACACTTGCTCTCACAAGGTGTGGTGGGGATTAAATGAATCACTGTTAGCAATACACATACTAATGTGCCTGATGTTTAGGACAGTCCTCATCTTGGTGAAGGGCCTAAACACACGGTATTTTCATCACTCCCTCTGAAACATCACTAACATGATAGTTAAGGAATTACCTTAATTATAAAGAGCTGAAAGGAAAAAGAAAAAAACAAAGGAGATAACACCAGATGAGATATCAATAAAATTGTCAAAAAATTAAAATAGGTTCTAAGAGTAGCAACTGACTTCACATAAATAAGAAAGTGAAAAGCTATATGTTCACAAATGAGAGATGCCAGTTAAAATCAAGCCACCCCAAATGTCACAATATTAGAGGGGCTTAGGTATTCTTCAAAGCTAAAAACAGGACTAGCTCAAAGTCCGAAGAGCCATTAGAAGGTCATATCCTCCACCCTACAGTAAGATGCAGTGATTATTTCTGAAAATATTAAACCAGAGTCTCAAATATCAGGGATCCTGGACACCTTCAGTTAAGAAGTAAAGCTCTTAACTAAAAAATGGGAATTAAGTAAAAGTTGGTATGGTGAATCATGAAAACCTCATTTTCTTGTCCCTTTTTTTCAATCTCAGAATGATAACAGAGAATATCTCTTTGGTAAAATTGACTCAGGAGAAAAGACCCAAGATAGTAATGTTCAGGGGTCCCCCAACAAAATGCCTGGAGCATCCCACCTGAGTACCATATAGTCAAGTCATCAAACTCTGTCTGTGCTAATAAAGCTTTCAATCAGCATTTTAGTGTCTTATTAGTAAATGGGAACAAACAACCAAGGATCAGCAGCATTTGACTAAGACCACTGTAAAAATATGTAAGGCACCAAGGTGTGATAGATATCAAATTTTAAGTTGAACTACAAGACATCCCTCCAAGCAGATAGTCAGAAACTGTTTGCACAACTGTTGAATTCCTTACTCACACGAGAACAATAAAACAGGTAAAAGAGAGGAAAATTGAGAGAGGAATTTCTCTGGCAAAACAACAACAAAAAACCTGCTGTAAGTGCCCTACCACTACCAAGGGGGAAGAGGCATAGTTTCTAATAACCTCAAGTTAAGAGAGGAGCTTCAGTGAGACCACTCAGAGAGCTGCATATGTGTGCCTTGATATTGGTGGGATACAGATGGCATTTGAGTCATCCCCAGAAAAAGTTCATAGCTGAGAATCTGGCTGAAGGGGCCTATGGCAACTGAATAGAAAGATGCAACTAAAAATCAACCACAATTCCATTGACTTAAAGAAAAAGGTGCATGTTTCACATGGTCCTTATATGAAAATTCAAGTGGAAGAAATGATCTGAAATTGTGCTAATCATTTCTAAGTGATCAACAAGAGAGAATGATGAAAATCTCTCAAAAAAAAAAAAAAAAATCTTTGAGGAACAAATTCTCAAAGAAATGTAACAAAGAAAGAACAGACAACCAAGACATATAAAGGTTAATCAGGCTGGGCTTGGTGGCTCAGCCTGTAATCCTGCACTTTGGGAGGCCGAGGTGAGTGAATTCCTGAGCCCACAGGTTCAAGACCTGCCCGGGAAACTTGGCGAGACCTCATCTCTACAATAAATCAAAAAAATTAGCCGGGTGTGGTAGCGTGCGCCTGTAGTTCCAACTACTTGGAAGGCTGAGGTGGAAGGATTGCCGGAGCCCAGCAGGTCGAGGCTGTGATGGCCAGGAGCGGCCACTGCACTCCAGTCTGGGCAACTGAGTGAGACTCCAACTCAAAAAAAAAAAAAAAAAGTAATCACGAGTTTGCTGTTAGAACTGAACTTAATCCATAAAAGAATCCAAGAAAAAAAAGGCAGAGTTAAACATCAGCCAGGCCTGGAGAGCATAAAGCCAACTTAACAACAATCCTAGACAAGTTAAAATTTCCTGCCTTCCATTCTCATCTCCTTCTTCCCTATGCTTCAACCCTGGAGGGGCCAGGTGGCAATAGGGGTGAGCAGCTAGATGCCAAAGGCAGGTCAGAAGAGAACGCCCACACCCTTGTCCTGGCCTCCTGGAGCTTGAAGGCCTGGCAAGGAAGAAGTAGCTGTCACTTTTAAAAAGTTGAAAGCCTTAGTTATACACAGACTTAATTACCTAAGGACTTGGCTTTTGTGTTTTGTTTCCTAAATTGATTATATATTTAGAACAGTTTATTAAGCATAATAATTTTAAAAGACAGGGACTGCCAAGGTTTTTATACAGAAAAGAGAAAACTTTCTTTACTGAGTTAATTCTAAAAAGACAGGAAAAGGCAAAATAAAGACACTTTCTGATTCCATGCATGAGTCATATTTATTCAAAACAAACATAGGAAGAAGAAGTAAAAACCACCAAGACAATTCAGAAAATAGAAGGAAAAAAACTTGCAAAGAGGGAAAAACAGTTCATGTAGAAAGGACCCGGGATAAGAATAAAACCTTAATAAAAACTTCTCAATCATGGAAGCTGGAAGACAGTGGGAAAGCAATGTTTTCAGAATTATGAGAAAAAAAGAATTTCCACCGAGAATTTTACACCCAGGCAACTTAAAGTCAATGACAGAATAAAAATATTTTCACATATTCACGTTCCTGAAAATATTACCTCCTCTTGTTATTTCTCAGGAAGCTACTAGAGGATGTGCTCCACCAAAATAAAGGTGGTAACATGTATTAAAAGACATGGGATTCAGGAAGCAGAGAATCCAAAGAGTATTAAAAAGAATTCCAGGGATAATTCCCAGGGATAATTCTGGGAAAATGGACCAGAATGACTGCTACTCAGCAGGAGAAGCCATTTTGAGTTGAAGCAGGAAGATGAAAGTTTCCTGGAAGGATGTCACCAAGAAAAAAATAAATAAATAAACAGACTTATTACCAAATGCGTTTGGTCATTTTGAGAAGAATTTCACAATTCTGTCAGATAACTTTGTGGTTGTACTTACTTATGAAAACTTAGCTAATGAAAAAGGGATTTAAAAATAGCACTAGGGGAAAAAAACAGATTTATACAAAAAAGACACTGTGATAATAACACTAATAATTACTATGCCTCTGTGTGCCAGGCACAGTTCTAAACAATATGTTTGTATTGTCTCTAAATCCTTATCACAACCCTATAAGGTAGGCACTATCATTAGGCCCATTTTAATGATGAGGAAAGTGAGGTATGGAGAGGTTAAATGGCCTGAACATCATATGGCTAATAAATACCACAGCCCAGATTAGACCTAGGCAATCTGATGTTGAAATCCATACACTACTGTAATCATAGTTTGCTACATGGCTTACTTGTGAACAATATTTGTATTATTGTCAACATGTAAACACTGAATACTGATATAACCTGTAATTATTACATAATTATATATTATGAGGATAGGGAAGGGGAAATACGTTGGGAGAGAGTGGGATGGTAATAACATTCCAAAATCTCATCTTCCAGGTAGAATATATAATGGTTAAAACTGGAAAATAAAACAATCTATGATAATATTTAAAACACATAAGCAAATAACAGAAAAGAACATCTAAAATAATTTGGAGAGAAAAACTAGATTTGAGGATGAGAAAGAGAAAAGCAAGAGACTTCTTTTTCAGTATTACCCTTGAAGCAATATTGAGTTTTAAACTGTTTCTTTCATTAAAAAGGAATTTAAACAAAAATTATAAATGTTGGAGAAAGGGTGTGATAGTGCCTAGTACTGAAATGGGCAATTAGATAGTAGTGGTAGGAACCAGGACTCCCATGGCTACCAAGAAATGCATTGCTGGTCTTCTCATAACTACCCCCAGGGTGTGGGATGCAGCCCTCTGGGTCGGGTCATACCTTCTGCACCAAACACCTCTCCACAGTGAAAGCAGAAGAAGTGCTCTGGGTGCCAGGTCTGGTTCATTGCTGTCAGCACTTTCTGGAAAAGGAATACACCGATATCAGAATGCTGCAGTGTTACAAAATTGGACCCTGGTTCTAAATGAGTAATTAGAAACTACATGAAAGCCGGAAGGGAGTGGGGCTTACTTACATCCAGTATGGGAGCAGCACAGTAAGCACAGCGTGGAGAAAAAAGATGGTGATAGTCTTTGGGGCAGTAGGCCAAGCCACTCCGCTCAAAGAAGGGACTGGAGCCAATCTCTTCTTTGCAGTGAGTACAGATGAAGTGTTCAGGATGCCATGACTGCCCTAGAGCATGGATCACCTGCAGGGTGAAATAAAGCCTGACATGGAAGCCCAGTTGAGTGCTCTAAGGCCTACATGTTGCACAACCCTAGTGGGCACTCTTCACACAGTATGCCATGTAGACAACACCCCCTGGAGTTATACAACACTGAGGCCAAGACCTAGGTTACATCTAAGGTGCTCTGTTTTCCATGCTTTATGAGTAGTAAAAGGATGCCCACTTGCCTGACTGATCATCCTGAAAAAAGTCTGTGAATGTTTGCTACCTCTCTGCTGCCCCAAATGGTTGGTAGAAACAACACAGAGTAAGTGGTGTTAGACAAATGATAACTACAGCCTTGGCATGGAAGGGACCCCTGAAAGAGGAAATGACCAAATGACAGTATTTATTCTTTTAGTCTGAACACTTCCTTTCACGCCCCATGCAGTCAGGCCTCAAAGCTGTTTTTCATGGCTTTGGTGAAAGATGATGTGGAGCAGGAGTTCGCAGCTATAATTTGGAGCTGAGTTCAGTTGAAAACTGCAATTTATCAATTTAGACTGGGAAGGTTTAAACAGAGACAGCAGTGACAAAGGTCATCTCAGTAAAGGCAGTACAGCAAGTCCCCTGCATAGGAATGAGTTCCGATCCAAGAGTGTGTTCATAAGTCCAATTTGTTTGTAAGTCCAACAAAGTTGGCCAACTAACACAATCGGTTATACAGTACCAGCTACATTACCACTGCTTTTTACACTTGCTTCTGGATATCCTGGACTTGAAATAAAGAAACTATATTACTGTACTTTATACAGCACTATACAGCAAAGTATACAAAATCACAAACACTTGTAGAGGATGCACACGTGAGACAATGTACGCCAGACATGTGAACTAATTTATGTGACTGGAAATGCAAACACACGTCCACATCCTTGAAAGTCTGCAACTTGACCAGGCTTTGTAACTCAGCCTGTAATTCCAGAGCTTTGGGAGGCCGAGGGGAGTAGATTGCCTGAGCCCATGGGTTCGAGACCCACCCGGGCAACTTGGCAAGACCTTGTTTCTACAATAAATAAAAAAAATTAGCCGGGCGTGGTGGCGCATGCCTGTAGTTCCAGCTCCTTGGAAGGCTGAGGAGGAAGGATCGCTGGAGCCCACCAGGTCGAGGCTGTGGTGGTGGTGGCCGGGAGTGTGCCACTGTACTCAATCTGGGCGATGGAGTGAGACTTCAACTCAAAAAAAAAAAAAAGGAAAGTCTGCAACGTGAAGGTTCATATATGTAGGAAACTTACTGTACTAAAAAATGAATAGGAACTCAAACTCAGGAGACAGACTCTCCCAGTTTTACAACTTACCTTTACCTCCTACTATCCTTGGGAATGTCTTTGGGCTCTCAGTTTCCTTATCTCTACTAAGTGAACAATAATAGAGTCTCCTTGAAGAGCTAATGTGGCCATTAAATGAGGGAATACTTGTAAATCATTTAGCTCAGTGGCCATAGCACTGTAGTGAGCAGTAATTACTAACGATTACTAAAATGTCTTAGAATATAAGGAGAGAGAGCAATCCTTGGTGGGACAGAGACAGACATACATGCAGATACAGATGGCTATAGGACCAAAATTTCAGCCCATCACACCTTCCCAGCAATTGGTTTCCGGCAGGAAGCACAATGGCCCTTGGGCACTGTGGCAATCCCAAGGTCCTGCAAATCCTGCTCCAAACCCCCAAGCATTGAGTCCAGGGAGGCCTTGTGTTCCTGCTTGTCTGGTGAGTGTTTCTTGCCAACATCTGCTTTTACTGCAACCTGGCACAAGGAAAGAACCAAAACCAAGAATTAACCTCATGTACTTTTATCCTCACTGGCATCTTCCTTGTGAAATTCGCATTCTATGAGTGATAGACAATAGATTTGACAACTAAATCTAGACGTAATGGCAGAGATAAATTATAAGTTACACATGAGAATAGAAGTGACAGAGGGCAGGATGATGAAAAAATGGGGACAATCAGAGAAGATCCCTTTAGGGAAATAATATTTGAGCAGATATTTGAATGATAAACTTAGAAGTCCAGAAATGTTGACATTTATGGGAAAAGCATTCCAGAGGAAGAGAAGGCCCTGAGGAAAACAGTTGGGCACACAGAAGAAGAATCAAAATGCTCACAGGGACTAGAGCAGAGGAAATGAGATTGAGCATAGCAGGAGAAGATGAAGGTGGTAGAGAGAGAGGTAAAGATCACAGAGGGCCCTCTTTGGTAAAAACTTGGGTTTTATTCCAAGGTGATAGGAGCCATTGAAAGATTTCAAGCATATGAGTGAAGGAATCTGATTTAAAATATTCCTTTGCTAGCTAAGTGGAGAATTAAGTGTTGCCAAATAAGAGTGAACACTGGGGGACAGTTATATAATGACTCAGACCAGAGTTAGTGGAGAAGGTCGTGAGAAGTGGTCAGATAAGACTTGCTGATAGATTGGATTTATTTAAGTAAAACTCCAAAAGAATTATTATAAACCACTCAAAGGAAGATCCTTAAATTACAACAACAAAAAAGATATCTAACTTATCCTTCATCACCCTGTGTCCTGATTCCAGCTCTCTCTACTCCCTTCCAATTGGGCCACTGCTACAATCTATCTACCTAATACTTCACTGATTAGAAAATGACAGTGAGCCAGGCTCGGTGGTTCAGCCTGTAATCCCAGCACTTTGGGAGGCTAAAGCTAGTGGATTGCCTGAACCGGCGGGCTCGAGACCAGCCCGGGGGCAACTTGGCGAGACCTCATCTCTATAATAAATCAAAAATGAGCCAGGCATGGTAGCATGTGCCTGTAGTTCTGGCTACTTGGATTGCTGAAGCAGAAGGTCAATGCTGGGGTGGCCATGAGCATGCCACTGCACTCCAGCCTGGGCAACAAAGTGAGATCCCCAACTTGAAAAAAAAAAAAGAAAATGACAATGGCTCTCCATTGCCTCCACATCAAGTCTATACTCATCAGACAGACATTCAAAGCCTCCCATCCTCACTTTATCTGCCCCATCTCATCTTTCATTATGCAATAAAAGGCCTTCCTTGTTCAAGAACAGCTGGGCTCTTTGTAGTCTCCTGAATGTGATCTGTGACTATCTTCCTTCAGGCCTTGACCTATCCTATTTTTAAAGTCTGTAATAACCTCACATTATTTCACCAATCAAAATGCTCATTTCCCTTCATGAAACATTGATTTTCTGACAGATTTCCTTCCTCCTCTATTATACAATGTTAGTAAATGTTCGAGAGATGACTGTTCAAAAGATTAATGTCTGAAAGGTTTCAAAGGATGACTGATATTAAGTATTAAAAAAAGAAGTAAAAATTCAATAATATATCTGTATCTATAGCTCTATTTCTCTTTGCTTGTACATTCCAGAATACTTTTGAACAGATATGTAAAAAACAGGAAATACTGTCTCTACGGCCATACCACCCTGAACGCACCTGATCTCATCTGATCTCGGAAGCTAAGCAGGGTTGGGCCTGGTTAGTACTTGGATGGAAAAACAGTTCAGTGTAAACTTTTTTGTATACTTTTGATTGTTGTGCTGTATGATTGTATAACTTATTTTTAAAAAAGATGTGTTTCAAATTAAAAATTAAAATAAACCAAGACACATACTAAGTTCATTAGAAAATACAACACAACTAAGTCTCCTAATGCAAATTTTGTCTAGTATTTTCAGATATACAGCACAATGAGCTTTATTGTAGACATCAGTCCATAAAAGAACATTAGCCTTATAAGAAAACTTGTTTGTGACATTTATTCCTTTGTCCCTCTAATATATATGTGTTATTCACTATGTGCCAGGCACTGCACTGGGCATTGGGAGCCCCAAGGTGAGCCACAAAGATAAGGCCTCTGCCCTCCCCAATCACAGACATTTTTATATACTGCCTATAAATTATGTCATAGTCACTTCATAAGTTTATATCCACTCCTCCAACAAGATTTAGAATAGTAGTTTGATGTGCTTTCTTAAGGATTCTATATTATATTTCTCTTACTAAATCCTGAAGGCTCACTTATTTGATTTCCATTCCCTGCCAGGCCATGTGAATGTGCCACTCTAGAGGTGCTCTAGAGGCTGGAACAAAGAGGAAGACTTTATTTCAATATGGGCCTGGGATTCCTCATTCTTTCTACTGTCAGAGCCACATTATGATGTCCCTTGCTATAAACTTGCCAACTGGTCTCCTCTGTCCTGCTCACCCACGTCTCTTTAACAGTTCTTTCACATCATCAAGCTTTAGATGCCTATCTCCTCAGGGCTCACTCCAACTAAACTGACCTCTTCTTTCAACTCTTTGTGTTTAAATCCTGCCCATTCTTCAGAATCCATCCCAAGTCCCTTCCCCACCTTTCTGATAAAAATTTTCATAGCCTTTCTACACCCTAATGCTTGCTCCACATATTTTGCAAACCCCTTGTCTTTTAATATACAAATGTTAGAGAGGTTTATGCTTTATTTTACCAAGCACACTTCAAGCTCCTTGAGATCAAAGCCTGTATTATATTATTTTTGTGTCCAAATAACACATAGTACTAAATTGAGTTAATTCACTGAATTAAATTTAGTCTGGGAAAACGAATGACAACGAAGTCCTAGGCGAGAGAATGCAGAGCTGAGTTCCACAAGGATAAACTGGTGCCTTGGTGGGTCTTGGAGACTTTATTATCTGGACTGTACTCACCTCGGCCTGCATTTCACTTAGGTGGGCCATGAGCTCATCCAACTGAGCGGCTGCTGAAGTTTTAGAAGGTGGGGGCGATTTCTTTGGCTCTTGGACTTCACTAAAGAGGGGAAAAAAGTCATACTAACAAATCAAAACTCAAATAAATGTTAAGTAACACATAAAATACCAGAAAATGCAATGTAAATGATTTACCCTTAGATGTGAGATAGAATTCAAAACATAGGTAGCAGACTATAAATCTATATAAACTCTGCCTTTGATCACTATTTCTCCTTGGTCATCTAAATTACAAAGTATTGTATTTCCTCTCAAATGTTGTCAGGCAAAAAACAAACAATAAGAATATAGAGCAGGCATTGACAAACTAAGGACAATGGGCCAAATCTGGCTACACCCTCCATTCATTTACTTATTATCTATAGTTGTTTTTCTGCAGAATTGGGTAATTGCTACAAAGACCTATGGTCCATAAAGCCTAACAAATTTACTATCTGCCTTTTACAAAAATAAGTTTATGAATCTTGGTACAGAAAGTTTAAATAGATTGGGCAAGATGGTTCACACCTGTAATCCTAGCACTTTGGGAGGTCAAGGAGGACTGCTTGAGCCCAGGAGTTTGAGACCAGCCTGAGCAACGTAGTAAGACCTCTTCTCTACAAAAAAAAAAAAAAAAAAAAGGTGTGGTGAGGCACACCTGTAGTCCCAGCTACTCGACTCAGGAGGCTGAGGTAGAGGAAGAGTGGAGTCGTAATCATGTCACTGCACTCCAGTATGGGTGACAGGGTGAGACCTCAACTCAAAAAAAAAAATGAGGCTAATGTATATGATTATGGTTTCATATTCAAATAATTGTGAATAAATTATAAATGGATGAAACTTTGAACCAAACAAACAGAACACAGAGTCTAATCAAGAATTTACATAATCTGCAGTAAAATTAAAATTAATCATGTTTGAGGTACAAAATTAATCATGTTTGAGGTACAAAATAAAGCTCAATAAATTCTACAGTACTTCATAAAGATTATATTCTTAGATTGTAGTGAATAAAAGTACAAATTAACCATAAAAGACTATCCCCTTAAGAAAAATAAAGCACTTCTAAATAAGTCTTGGGATAAAATATATTAAAACGAATTTTCAAAGCATTTAAAAATAGCAATGAGAAAAGACATACACACATGCCCATATACACACACCCCCTTGGAGTGTATGTAAGCAAAATGTTATTGAAAAATATTTATATAAGCAGACTTAAGTGCAATATTGAAAAATAAGAAGACTAGAAATAAACAAGGCTTCCAATTCAAGAGTCTCAAAAAAACCCCAAATAATTAAATAGAACGAAAAAGTATAAATTAATGAAACAGAAAACAAATGAGAAAAAAGCAAAAACTTACAGTTTAAAACTTTAGTTTATATTGTATAAAATGTTCAAGTATATAGAAAAACATAGAAAATTACCCAACTCATTCTATAAATAGCACCAAAACTTGATACTAAAGTCAAAGAAAGAAATGTGTGTGTGTGATAGAGAGAGAGAGAGAGAGAGAGAGAGAGAGAGAGAGAGAGAGACAGAAATTTAAACAATATTAGAAAAAATGTGTGTTTTTAAGAAAATTATTAGATAGTGTTTATACCAGTCACCCCCAAATGGGTCAACAATAGAAAACAGATGAATGTACTTCAATATGCTAACAAATAAGAGAAAAGCTTTATAAACACATTGACAGGTGATGAAAATGTAATGGAAAACAATTTTAACCACCATTCTTTTTATTGACCACCAGGGAAAAGAAGAAAAATTCTGTAACTTGATAAGATGTGTCTACAAAAAAACTATAGCAAAATTCATATTTAATAGTCAAATATCAAACACATTTCTAATTAAGAGATGAGGTGGACACAGATCCTATTATCATTACCAATCATCAACATTATTCTAAAATGCATTATCAAATGCATTTAAGCATAAAATAAGGACAGATTCAGTGACTCAGCCTATAATCAAGGTGCCTTAGCCCATGGGTTTGAGACCAGCCCGGGCAACTTGGCGAGACCTTGTCTCTACAATAAATCAAAAATTAGCTGGGCATGGTAGCACGCACCTGTAGTTCTTGGCTACTTGGAAGGCTGAGGCAGAATGAGCGCCGGAGCCCAGCGAGTCGACACTGGGGTGGCTGTGAGTGTGCCACTGCACTCCAGCATGGACGATGGAGTGAGACTCCAACTCAAAAAAAAAAAAAAAAAAGAAGAATAAAATAAGATAATTATAAAGCCGGGCTTGGTGGCTCAGCCTGTAATCCCGCGCTTTGGGAGGCTGAGGTGAGTGGATTGCCTGAGCCCGCGGGTTTGAGACCTGCCTGGGCAACTTGGCGAGACCTCATCTCTACAATAAATCAAAAAATTAGCCAGGCGTGGTAGTGCACGCCTGTAGTTCCAGCTACTGGAAGGCTGAGGTGGAAGGATCGCCAGAGCCCAGCAGGTCGAGGCTGCGGTGGCCAGGAGCGGCCACTGCACTCCAGTCGGGGTGACAGAGTAAGACCCCAACTCAAAAAAAAAAAAAAAAAAAAAGATAATTATGTATTTGGAAAAAAGGCAAAGCACTCTCACTCTTATTTTCTGTTAAAATAGATGGTATAATCATTTACCTGAAAAGTATAAAATAAATTATTGAACAACCATTAGAACAAATTAGAAACCATTAGAAAACAAGATCAAGATGGTAACTAGATACAAGAATAAAACGAAACAATATCTTTTCTAGCAACCAGCAATGAGCAATTAAAAAATCCAACAGGGAAAAAAGGAACTTGCTCACAATACTAACAAAAATTATGAAAAATCAAATAATAAATCTAATAAGAAATGTGTAAAACTTCTATTAAAAAAGTCATTGGCAAACATAAAAGAAGATCCACATACCTTATTTAAAAATAGGCAAAGTACCTGAATAGACACTTCTCCAAAGAAGACATTAAAAAGGGCAAACAAGTATATGAAAAGGTGCCCAACATCACTAATCATCAGGCAAATGCAAATCAAAACTACTATGAGATAACAGTGTATACTTGTTAGGACAGTGATTATCAAAAAGTCAAAAGATAACAAATGTCAGCTGGGGTGTGGAGAAAAAGAAACCCTATACACTATTGGTAGGAAGGGAGATTATTGCAGCCGTTATGGAAAACAATATGGTGGTTTCTAAAGAAATTAAAAGTAGAACTACCATAAGACCCAGCTGTCCCTCTTCTGGGTATATACACGAAATAAATGAATTCACTGTTTTGAAAGAAATCTGTACGCCCATGTTCATTACAGCATTTTTAACAATAGTCAAGATATGGAAACAACCTAAGTGTCCAATGATTAAGAAATAAAGAAACAGTCGTAATACACACACACACACACACACACACACACACACACACACCCATTATTCGGCTTTTAAAAAAAGAAGAGGCCGGGTGTGGTGGCCCAGCCTGTAATCCCAGCACTTTGGGAGGCCCGAGGCGAGAGGATTGCCTTAGCTCAGGAGTTCAAAGTTCAGTACCAGCCTGGGCAACCTTGTCTCTACAATAAATCACAAAAACTAGCCGGGCATGGTGGCAAGCGTCAGTAGTTCCAGCTACTTGGAAGGCTGAGGCAGAAGGATTGCCTAAGCCCAGCAGGTCGAGGCTGCAGTGGCTGTGAACGTGTAACTGCACTTCAGCCTGGGCGACAAGAGTGACAAAGAAGAAGAAGGAGGGGGGAGGAGGAGGAGGAGGAGGAGGGGAGGGGGAGGGGAGGGAGAGGGAA